CATGACTATGTACCTGTGCAACAGTGCTTCTACAGTGAGGAAAGCACCAGATGTGCAATGGCTACAGTTGCGGATCTTAGTCAGTTGCACAGCATTAGGGCCACCATTAAACCACTGCAGAAGCATAAGCGTGATCCGTATCTGTTCTCCAGCACAGTATCTACTCCAGAAGTTTTACAGACATACATACACCAAATAAATAGATTCTTACACCTAAATAATGTGCTGGCCCAGGACAGCTGCTCACTCCTCCTCTACCTGAAAATTACTGTCAGTTCCTCCTCAGGGACCTCTCTCTGCTCCCTTGAGGCTTGAATGGAAAGGGATAGAGAAACAGCCCCAACCACAGGAGCACAGGAGGAAGAGGAAGGGCAGCAGCTGGTTAGTCACCTAAGATAGGAGGATCCAGCCTGCAATAATTTGAGGTGTGTCCAATATTAAACATGGGGGGTAGTACGAATATGAGGGTTGCATAAAGTGCATTTGGGATGGCAGGGCTCACCTCTCCTTCTGCCTGGCATTCCACAAAAAGCCCAGGCAGCTAGCACCTCACTAAATTCTTCAGTTGACTGGGTAGGGGCCCCCGACTTCAATTCCTTTTCCTGGGCCACAAACAGCCGAAAAGAGGAATACCTGTGCTGTTGCACCATAAGTGACAGACAATAGTTTTTAAGGATGTTCTCTCACTCTGTGAATTAAATACAGATTGCAAAATGGGTTTAATAGATGTGAAAGCCAGAAGGGACCATTACAATCATCTAGTCTGACCTCCTGCGTACCACAGGCCACAGAATTTCAGCCAGTAATTAAGCCTGAATCAAGCCCGTATCTTGTGGCTGAAGTGAAACACATTTTTAGAAGGACATTCAGTCAATGTAAAGGCTTTAAGTGAGAAAGCACCATATTTGTTGATAATTAACCATTGAAACATCTTGCCTTCACTATTAGTTTGATTCTATGTCTAACCTGAGTTAATCTAATTTTAAATTTCAGCCAGGGGATTTTGTCAATACCTTTGTCTCCCAGATCAGGGAGAGAAGATGTTTCTAACTAGGTACTTATATACACCACAATCAAATAATCTCTTAATTGATTTAAGAAGTATAAAGAGAACATTAACTCACATAGTGAGAACACCCTTAAACCAGCTTAAGACTGAAAACATTAATTGTGCCATAAGCAACAGACGATAAAAGCCAGGTATCACAGAGTTTGATCATTTGTCACATATTCTGACAATTTCCATTACACATTGACAGGTTTGAAGACTTAGAAGCATGCTTCAGCTCCAAACTTAAGGACAACCAGGAATCAAATTTCAAACCTGTATCCTAGTAGCCTAGAGACAAATGCTAGGGATGGAATAGGGCAGAGGAACTACAAATAATTTTAAATGATCTATTTCAGGTACAACTATGAAATCCCAGAATAGCATATCCTGTCTGAAGATTCCAAAAGAATGGATCGAGATGTCCATTTTATTAATCATGCACTAGTTTCCCTTCCTCAGCGAGAGAACTAACTTTACACCAAAGTTTTGGTGCTCTGAAAGAATAAGATATTGTTTTCTAGAGAAGAAAATTTAGCCACCTCTGTCCTCGTAAATCCTGAGCATCCACAGCAATCAAGCTGCCTTTGGTCCCAGAAAATCAACTACTGCAACATCTCCTGCAAAATGAAACAAGATGTCCAGATCCCTATATGGGAATTTGCAAACTCCATCAAAGGAAACATTCCTTCTCTCCTACAACATGCAAGAGAGGATAACTTAACTCTGAAAATTAGAATCCAAAAGTTGGCCTCTGACCACTGCTAGAAATCTCAGCGACAGCAATCAGGTTAACACACACCAGGCTCTTTATGATTTTTCACCTCCACTGCAGTTTCTGGTCAATAAACCTGTCTTTTCACTTTTGTTGCAACAATTCGTTACCAATACTGCAATGTAATCATTGCTGACTCCTCCTGATTTGGGGGAGAGATAGCTCAGTGGTTTGAGTATTGACCTGCTAAACCCAGGGTTGTGAGTTCAATTCTTGAGGGGGCCATTTAGGGATGTGGGCCAAAAATTGGGGATTGGCCCTGCTTTGAGCAGGGGGTTGGACTAGATGACCTCCTGAGATCCCTTCCAACCCTGATATTCTATGATTCTATGAATGCCAGCTCCAAGGATGTCACTGGGAAAGAGCACTTGTTCCACTCTCCCGCAAACGATGAGATTGGCAGAGATGCCAACAATACAGGAAAACCATGTTTGTGTTAGTACTGGGAGCAGATACCTGATTAACTCACTGACCTCATAGGCAGCACCCAGATCCTGGAACTTTTCTTGTGCTCGTGGATCATCAGGGTTTCGGTCCGGATGAAGCTGCAAAGCCAGTTTCCGATAGGCCTTTTTAATGTCTTTTACTGATGCACTGCGGGACACTCCCAGAATCTTATAGAAATCCCTCCTGAGAAATACAGAGCAAAATAAGCATCTAGTTGTGGCCTCTGCCACATAGAACTATTCCATATGTGCAGCACATCTATCACTCATATAACACCACCACCACTGTAGCATCCAAACAACTCAACCAATAATGAATGCATCCTCCTGGCACACCTGGGAGTTTGAATCAGTGCTATTAGCACCCTTTTACAGAGGAGGAATTGAAGCACAGAGACATTCAGTGACTGGCTAAAGACAGAGCGTGTGTGTGTGCGGTGGCGACACTGACTGTGGGCGTAGGTGTGCGTGTGTAACGGGATAGTCAGAGGCTGTGTGTGGGGGATGGATGGTGTGCTGGGATTTTAAGGGGCTGTGTGTGGGGGATGGGCAGGGGCCAAGTTTGGAAGATGGGAGGACCAAGATAGTCAGAAGCTGTGTATGAAGAATGGACAGGGGCCAGGTGAGGGGTCGGGATTGTCAGGGACCGGGGGGGGGGGGGGAAGGGCTGGGTAGGGGCCAGGTGTGGGAGTGGGGGGCTGGGATTGTCAGGGGATGTGTGTAGGGGATGGATGGGGAACCAGGTGTGGGAGCAGGGGGCCAGAATAGTTGGGGGCTGGGGAGGGGCCAGGATAGTCGGGGCGGTGTTGGGGGGTAGGGAGATAGGCAGAGGCCAGGTGTAAGGAATGGGGGCCCGAGATAGTCGGGGGCTGTGGGGGGGAGGAGGGGATGGGTGGAGGTTGGTCGCTGCTTGGGGTGGGCGGGGCGAGAGTGGGAGGAGAAGGAGGGGAATGGTGTGGGCGGAGACCGGGGAGGCCCGCGAAGGGTGGGGGCTAGTCGGTGCCTGAAGGGCCGGAGGCGGGGGCTCGGAGTCGGCCTAAGGGATCGCGCCCCCTTACGAGGAGCGGACCTAGGCCCCCACAGGCCCCGCTCCCCCGGAATCCCCGCCCGCCCGCGGCCGCACTCACCCGGCGCTGGCCTCCCCGAGGAGGTAGAGCAGCAGCAGGCAGAGAAGGCCGAGGCAGCTGGGGGCCATGACGACGGCGAGGCCTCGCTCCCCGCCGAGGCTGCACGCGGCTCACTTCGTCTGGGGGTAGCGCGGGGGAATTCGGCCGGGTCCCGCAGCGGCGACGACGACTCAGTCACCGGTAACCATAGATATGAACCAGAACCCGGCGACGAGAGCGGTCCAATCAGACTGCGGCACAGACCGCGGCCCTAGTCACACCTTGCCAATCACAGTCGCACACTTCAACAATCGCCCGGCCGTACTGGCCAATAACATCAGTCTACGTCAGCAGTGAGCCTCCTGACCAATCGTGACTATTTGCGTCACCTACCCTAGTGTCCAATCAGAACGCCAGGAAGGACAGTGACATCACTATCAGAAACCAACTAAAAGTGACTGCTCAGAGAGTGCCGCTCCGGGTGATAGCCAATCACAGGCTGCCCGTGCCTCCCGGCCAATCACGGAGCGAACAATACTCTCGCCTCCACGCTCCTCAAACGCACCAATCAGAACCTCGCTACTCTGAAGGCTAGCGCAGGCGCTTAAGTTCCAGCAAAAGACTAGTCTGTGCTGCAGGCTATGTCCTGGGGAGCTTGTGTAAACCGCCCTCTCTTCCTCCCCCCGCAGTGCTCTGGTACTGGGGTCATGCCAATCACTGATAACGGTCATATGTAAATCAGGGGGCGGAGCAGCGCGAGAGGCCAGGCTGGCTGCAGCTCGGTCGGACGTTTATCGTACGGGGCCTCTGAGCCGTTACTTTGCCTGCAGCAGCGGCCAGCCCATGAGGAAGAATAGAAGGCACGTGCGGCTTAGGGGTCTATGGGATGGAGCCTGTCCTGCCGGTGGTCCGGAAGGGGCCTGGGCGGGGCACGTCTAGCCAATGGCTCGATGGTGTAGGTGGGATCTGCCTAGGTAACGTCTCGCTGGTCTGCCAACCGCGGCAGCTCAGTGCGCATGCGTGGTTGCTACGTGCGGCTGGGGCGGGAGCGGAGCACCCTGGCCCTGCTTAGGGGCAGGCGCGGCCCGCGCAGGTGAACGCGGGCTCGGGGCGCGGTGGCCGGGGTTGGTGTCGGCCCTGGGGCAGGCGGTCCTGGAGCTCGCCCGGCCAGCTACCGCCCCCAGTGCAGCCCCTCCTGGGGCTCGCAGGCCGGCCGCGCCCAGGCTTCCTGCCGCGGGGTGCAGGGAGCCTTCTCACCCGGGCCGGCTTCCCGGGGGGGCGGGGGACTCATTCTCGCCTCAGACCCGCCTCTGGGCGCCGGGGGCGGCCTGGCCTTCCTTTGTCGCGCTCATGGCTCCCCCCAGCAGGCCGGAGCTCCTGGGTCTGTAGGAGTGGGTTATGAAACACGTGCTATGTCGGGTTGCCCCTTGTAGCAGAGGCTTTCCAAGCATGGTTCCGCTGTTGGTCGTTTGTGGTCTGGTTGGGCTTGTGAGTCCCAAGCCTGGCCCAGGCCCCCTGCACTAGGTGCTGTACAAACCAGGGGCAAAATGCTGGCCCTTGCCCCAAAGAGCTCACTCTGGCCTTGGCGCAAATGAAGCTGAGTGTTTTCGGATCAATGTCTGGTGTTTTGTTTTGTTTGTCAGATCTGCAGGGAAGGCAGTTCAACCCTAGATGTGGAGTTCCCAGAGCTGGTTAAAATGGATCAGTCTATGGTGCACCTCTGGGTGAAAACAGAACCCTTCATAGTGGGGGCTTTGCAGATCCCCCCTCCATCCAAGTTCAGCATGCACTATCTCCGGAAGATGTCCACGTATGTCCGGACGCGGGCCAGTGAGGGCTGTTATCCACGCCTTTTCTGGCCTATGTGGCGGCACATTGCCTGTGGGAAGCTGCAGTTAGCCAAGGATTTGGCCTGGCTCTACTTTGAGATATTTGGCAGTCTAGTGGAACGGACTCCAGAGGAACATCTGGAATGGGCAGAGGTGGTGTCCAGCTGCAAGTCAGAAGAGGAATTAGAGAAGCAGAGGAATAAGGCATGAAATATAATGTTGTAATCTTTCTCTGGTGAACAGTTTTAGGCATTAGAGCATGGGCTGTGCCAGTCAAGGTTGTATGATTAGGTCCTTTTGCTACTCATGCACAGTCATTTGGGATCACGTCCAGCCTTTTGATCTAAAGTGTTGTACAACCACATTTCCAGCAGCCTTTTTCTCACACTCTTCATGGCAGTGAAGCCCTAATCATTCTGCTAACTGTGCCTGTGAATGCAGATCACGCTACCATTCAAGTTGTTAGTTGTTGTTTTCTGTTTGACTGGGGTAAATACCAGTAATCAGATCTGCCCTTCAGAGTCACATTGCTACTTTTCCACTTTAAAAGACAAGGTAGCATTACAGGTAGCATTAGGACCTGCTTTGAGCAGGGGCTTGAACTAGATGACCTCCTGAGGGCCCTTCCAACCCTGATATTCTATGATTCTATGATTACAGAACAAATGCTGTTCAGCAAGATTACATATGGTTGGTATAATCAATAGACACTTTTCTAAAGTAAAACATTTGACATAAAAAATAACAGGGTCTTGCTTAAACCCTCAAAAGCAGAGAAATCCCAAGTCTGGTTTGTTCCTAACATCCTACTGTTTTTCTACACAACATGGGAAGAGGTGCACAAAGGAGACTTCTGTAAAGGTGACCTGCAGACAATTTAAATTAGACTAGTCCTTTTTTGCTGGTTTATGATGTATAAAATAGATTTGAACATCTACATTTTTTTCTCTGTTTCACTTTATCAGGATTTTCAGCTATTTTTCCCCTGGTTTTGCTGGCTGACTTGTAGGGAAAAGGGGGAAAAAAAAAAAGGTCTCAGAATGTATGTTCCGCCACAAAGGGTGGGACCATTCAGAAAAGTTATCCTTTAACGTGTTAGTTGGTCATATCAGAAACGAGATTTAAACAGTCTAATTAAAAATCCACTCCTCTTTTTCTTGCCTCTTGCAATGTCATTTTGCTTATTCTCTAATCATTGTAATACTAGACAGGACCTGAATTTGTAATGGGGCATGGCGGAAAGCAGAAGAAAGCTTTTGTCCTCCTTTGGATACAAAAAGTTTGGGCTGTTTTTTCTTTTTTAAAGAAGGTCCCGTCCCCTCTCTCTCCCCATCCCCTGAGGCACAAGTCCAATATTTTTCCTTTGCATGTCACTGTTAAATAACTCTTTCCACACTTTTTGATAAACTTTAAACACTTTCAGCATTTATTGATTGTGGCCCTGGTGGAAGGGTCTGGATCAAGGCTCGTTCTTGTGGGAGGAACCTGACCTCACTTCCTCTGGTCTGTACTGGAAAAGCCAGTGGTCTTCTGAAATTGAGTTTGTCAGAGAACAGCATTACGTGTGTGGTGCAAAGAGGCATGCTAAGGAGTGCACATATAAAAGATCCATGTGATAGTCCTGAAATCAATTGAGCTTAAACAGCAAGCTCCCTAGTCCATGAGTAGCTGTCCATTCATTATTTGCACTGGCCCTCTCGGTCTTGTGTTCATTCACAAAGTCTATGTGCTATTATCTAGTGGACCTTTGGTAGCACTTGCTGTAGTCAAGATTGCAAAACAGGTTTGTTATAACCATGTTTTTGCACACTGATCTTTGAAATGTACAGCATTTAGGGGGCACGATTTGAACACAGATCAGCCATTTGAGCTAGAGGGTGAAAAACTATATCCATTTGAAAACCATTCTAACACTCATTAAAGACTACACTTAATTGTGTGTGTGTGTGTTTTTTTTTTTAATTTGACACTTGATAATGGCCATTTTTTGTTGGAGGGCCTAGTGCTTTTGTTTGATGGTGTCCCAAACTATGCATATTGAGCCTAAGGAGAAGTGTTTTTAGGAAATTGTGGGAAAGTGGAAAAAAGGTTTGAGAATGAGGGTCTTCCCAAGGTTACCAATGGCATGTGCAGTGGCAAATATTGTGATGTAGACAGTGAGAGAGGCTGAGCTTTTTGCATTCCTGTAATGTGGTTAAGGAGGGGTGTATAATTAAAAACAAGGAAATGGAAACAGAAACCATGTAGAAACCAAGCAAGCACTTGTCAAGCCCATAAACCTAATTTCTGGGTGTGTCTGTAAACTACAGCTTTCTTGAGGATTGTTAATAGCTGATAGTAACAGCACATACCTATTTGTGAAGGGGAGCCACAATCAGTTATGATATTGTAGATACCCTGTTGTCTACGTTCTAAAAGAATAGGCTCTTTGGTTGAATTATTGCATGCATTGGTCATGTTCTGGTATGTGTTAATATTGTGTTCCCCTCTCGGCCAGCTGTCAGTAGACTCTCTGCAGTTCCTGCTGTTCTTGTACATTCAGCAGCTAAACAAGGTTTCCTTGCGGACATCTCTGATTGGAGAAGAGTGGCCAAGTCCCACGGACAAATCTCAGTCTGCCAACCTGACTGGAAAATCCACCTGTCAAAATAAGGTATTGTTTGTAACCCTGTCCCCACAGAGGTTACTGTGAGGGAGGGGCTGCAAAACCTTCACCTTAAAGTGGGGTGGGGAGCAGATCTGCTTTGTGGGGGAAGTGAACTCCTGCCCAAGACTTATGTATGCACCTAGGGTGCACTTAGTCAATTGAGCTAAGTAATGAATTAGATGGTCACTGTAACATTAATTTTGAAAAATCTAACTTGCCCATAAAAACTTGCAGCAGACTGAACTTTCACATCCAGTCTCAATCTGTGATATTTTTTAAAATTTCCCCCCAAAATCTTTGCCCTTTAAATTAGAGGAGTGTAACAAAGCAGAAAATGTTCATTTATTTCAGAGGCTGCTCCTCCATAATTACATGTTCAGGCTTCTAGGGTAACCATTCTTAGAGCAATTTCTGAATAAGTTACACAAAGCTGGGAGTCAGAGAAATAGATTAGTTAACCACCTACATTTGATTATATTTGACTAAGTCTTGTATCTCACATTCAGAAGTATCTGAAGTTAGCCAGGTAAGCCAGGCCTGCTGCACTACCATGTTTGAAAGTGAATTACAAACTGACAGCAGCACAATAGAGACACTGAGCTGACCCACACCTTGAAAAAAGGCCAGTTGCCAGGGTCAGCAGGATTTTGTCAGGGGTGTGACATCAATACCATGCATGTTGTAGTGTCACATGGAACAACAACTGTCTAGTTGGCAGCCGGTATCAAGTGGAGTGCCCCAAGGGTCGGTCCTGGGGCCGGTTTTGTTCAATATCTTCATAAATGATCTGGAGGATGGTGTGGATTGCACTCTCAGCAAATTTGTGGATGATACTAAACTGGGAGGAGTGGTAGATACGCTGGAGGGGAGGGATAGGATATAGAAGGACCTAGACAAATTGGAGGATTGGGCCAAAAGAAATCTGATGAGGTTCAATAAGGATAAGTGCAGGGTCCTGCACTTAGGATGGAAGAATCCAATGCACCGCTACAGACTAGGGACCGAATGGCTAGGCAGCAGTTCTGCGGAAAAGGACCTAGGGGTGACAGTGGACAAGAAGCTGGATATGAGTCAGCAGTGTGCCCTTGTTGCCAAGAAGGCCAATGGCAATTTGGGATGTATAAGTAGGGGCATAGCGAGCAGATCGAGGGACGTGATCGTTCCCCTCTATTCGACATTGGTGAGGCCTCATCTGGAGTACTGTGTCCAGTTTTGGGCTCCACACTACAAGAAGGATGTGGATAAATTGGAGAGAGTCCAGCGAAGGGCAACAAAAATGATTAGGGGTCTAGAACACATGACTTATGAGGAGAGGCTGAGGGAGCTGGGATTGTTTAGCCTGCAGAAGAGAAGAATGAGGGGGGATTTGATAGCTGCTTTCAACTACCTGAAAGGGGGTTCCAAAGAGGATGGCTCTAGACTGTTCTCAATGGTAGCAGATGACAGAACGAGGAGTAATGGTCTCAAGTTACAGTGGGGGAGGTTTAGATTGGATATTAGGAAAAACTTTTTCACTAAGAGGGTGGTGAAACACTGGAATGCGTTACCTAGGGAGGTGGTAGAATCTCCTTCCTTAGAGGTTTTTAAGGTCAGGCTTGACAAAGCCCTGGCTGGGATGATTTAACTGGGAATTGGTCCTGCTTCAAGCAGGGGGTTGGACTAGATGACCTTCTGGGGTCCCTTCCAACCCTGTTATTCTATGATTCTATAAGAACTGTTGAACTGCAACTTAAGAGCATCTGAAACTAAAAATAGGGGTTAGTGGACTTTAAACACAAAGACTTATAATAGACAAGAGGGGGAAGTGCTTATCCAGGGCTTTGTGCTGAATGCTTCTCTTTACACATACTGTTCAGGGCATTCAGCATCATTCTATAGCGGATGATTTTTGTTAACTGCAGTTCAAGTTCAAAACTAGACTGGCCCATCTTGTGTAACTTCATGAGTAGATAATGGATCTGCCATATCTATTTCAGAAGCTTCATTCCCCCGCAGGGTGGGGGATTATAGTCCTTGGGGTTATCCTTTTGTAAACCATTGAGGAAATGCACCTACTTGCCGCTAACTTTCTAGGTATCTGGAATGGGCACTCCAGGTGACTGTACCTCTTTGGTGTGGTCCAGTGAGGCCTGTCCAGCATAAGCTGATGTCTGTTAGAGTTTTCATCATTGGCTGTCTCATATTCTGGTCTTCCCTTGCTATGGAGACCATCAGCACTTGAACTATAATGATCCTTTGAGATGAATATTTAATGAGATTTTTCCTCATAATGGACTATCTGAGGTTTTTCCCACAACTCCTGAGTTAGTACTTGATTGCATCTATTCTGAGCATCCAGGTTCAATAGGAACCATAATTGCCTTCATGGAGGCTTAGACTGTCAGGTGTTTGTTACAGTTCATTCCAGCCCTCGTTTCCAAGCACCTATGTGCTGAACCTTTTCATGAAGAGTGGAGTGGGAATCCATTTCCTTCTCTCACTCTAACTAATACAGTGACAGGTTGGTCATGGCCACAGCAAGTAGAACTACTGAACCTCTTCCACTCTGAAGGTGGCTAGTGGATCCAATGTCCTTTATTTGCTGGGGGAGTCTGTTGTGGGGGTAAGAGAAGGCCTGCAGAATCAATGGGGTTTGGAGGAAGGAGTGTATTCTGCGTCTACTGCTTTCTCCTTTTAGAGCTGCTGTGGGTGGGATCTGAGCAGGATGCAATGGATAGTGCATTAGGAAAGTGTCTCAGCCTGGTAAGAGCTCCTCTGTTTGTTTTTGTTTTGATTTCTAAGAACTGGAATGATTACACCCACCAAGCGTTTGTGCAGAACCACCTGTTGGATCTGCTGGAACTGCTACTGGACCCGGACCAGCTCACGGCCTCTTCCCATTCCACTCACAGTAGCTTGGTCTCCCCTGAAGCTGTTCGAGCTCTCAGCTTTCTCATTGAGGGGACCGTGAACAAAACCAGGACTGTCCATCCTCTTCATGAGCTTGCTCTCTGGCAGCCCTTGCATGCGAAGAACGGCTACTCGAAGATTTCCAAAGCCTTCTCTTTCCCCAAGCTAGAGGCCTGGCTGAGGGCCTGCCTGACTGGGAGCCCATTTGGGACGTCTGCCTGCCTCAAGTCTGGGAAGAAACTTGCATGGGCGCAACAAGGTATTTGAAAGCCTTGGCTTTGCTCTTTAGTTTTAGGATCAACTTTCCACTCTCCTCTGTTCCGGTGGATCAGGAGTCTGGTTTGTGGGCATTGGTGCTCTTTTGCCTGTCCTCTTCTTTACAGGAGAGAAGGGGGAGTTCACAGCTGAAAGAGCTGTTCATGCAAAATGCCTTATCCTTCTGTTTCCAAACTCTCCTATTTAACACTCATTATTCCTTCTGTGTTCTCTAGCTTGCATGTGTCCCCCTTCCCCACTTCAAGTTGATATCCAGATCCTGTGTGGTGTATATTGGCTGTTGCTAGCAGGCTTTCTTATTCTTAAAGACTCATTTGTTTGGAAGGTGCATTCTCCTGCATAGTGAATGTTAATGCCCAAGAAAGCAAATGATTGATTGCACAGGCTAAACCCAGGGTTAGGTGGAATTGCTGTATCGGCTGCTCCATATAGCTCTGTCAATGTAATTCAGACCTGACTAGTGTTACTACTTTTCTGTTCCTAAGTGGGGATTAACAGATAAATGGGGTGGCTCTCTAGCTGTTCAGGTACTTCCATGGCCTCAGTCACTGTTGTATCTGAGTGCCTCACAAACATTAATGGATTTACTTTTAAACATCCCTCTGAGGTGGGTCAGTATTATTACTCCCATTTGACAGATGGGAATTGAGGCACAGTGTAGATTAAGTGACTTGCCCAAGGTCGCAGAAGGCAGTCTGTGGAAGTATTTGCACTGCAGCTGCAAGGTGTGACCGCAGCATATGTTGATGTACCTAAACTATCTATGAACTTCTGTCTGTGGGAGTCAGAATGAAGACTCCTGATCTCATTTAACATGCAATTATAGGTTTTCAGAGGGAGAGAAAACTAGTCTTAATCCATTCCATCAGTAAGAATGGAAGAACATCCTGTGGTAACAAGTGCCCTGAGGGCTGTATACCTACAGGGAGCACACCACTTGGTAAGAATACATTGGAACAGACATGCTCCTATTTCATCAGCACAGTGGTGAAAATCTGCAAACTGCTGTAAATCTCAGTTTGGCAGAAAGAGCCCTGATGTTCAGGAGGAATTTTACAAAGAGAGTTGGGATCTAAATCCCAAGCATCAGGATGACTTTGTTTTTTTGATAGGATATTTACTCTGTGGCTGCCTGGTGAAATGTGATGTCATGGTCCGCCTGCTTAGGAAATATGTTCAGACTTTTTTTGTGCTAATGTGTGTAACTTTTGCCTTGCAGTTGAAGGAACAACCAAGAGAGCAAAGATTGCGTGCAATGCCCATGTGGTCCCTGAGGTTCACCGCATGGTGGTAATGAGCCAAGTCTACAAACAGACGCTGGCCAAGAGCTCGGATACCCTGGTGGGTGCTCATGTGAAGATCCATCGCTGCAATGAGTCCTTCATATATCTGCTCTCTCCTTTACGGTGAGTTTACATTCTCCTGGAATTCAGTGAAACCTCTTCGGGTGGGTTGCATTGGTATTTCCTGGTTCCCATTAGACATGGCAACCCCACTTGAACAGTGTATGGCCTTGTCCTGTTCTTGGGGATCCTGGCTTACTGCAACCTTTCTCTCTTTCAGATCTGTGACCATTGAGAAGTGCAGGAATAGCACTTTTGTCCTGGGCCCTGTGCAGACAGCCATTCACCTCCACAGCTGTGATAATGTCAAAGTCATTGGCATCTGCCACCGTTTGTCTATCTCATCTACGACAGGCTGCACCTTCAACATTCTCACGCCTACACACCCTCTCATTCTCTTGGGTAACCAAGCAGTAACTTTTGCCCCTTATCACACCCATTACCCAATGCTTGAGGACCACATGGCCCGGATGGGCCTGGCTACAGTGCCTAACTACTGGGACAGTCCAATGCTGGTGTGCAAAGAGAACAGTGATGCCAGTCTCTTCCGACTCTTACCCCCCAATGAGTTTTATACATTTGTCATTCCTTTTGAGATGGAAGGAGACACGACAGAAACACCTGGGGGGCTGCCACATGCATACCAGAAGGCACTGAGTCAACGAGAGCAGAAGATACAGGTTTGGCAAAAAACTGTGAAAGAGGCAGGGCTAACAAAGTGAGTAATTGGCTTCCTCCAGAAGGGGAGGAATGTGTATTTAATGCTCTGAAACTCAACTTGTCCATACAAGTACAAATCTCTTTGACCTGACATCACTGAACAAAAATGCCCTTGCATGAGGTCTGTTTATCTAGTCCAGTGGTCTCCAACCTTTTTATACCCAAGATGACTTTTTGAATGTGAGGGCAACCCAGGATCTACCCTGCCCATTCCCTGAGTCCCTGCCCCTTTTCCAAAGCCTTGCCCTGCTCACTCCACCCTTTGATCGCTCTCCCCCACCCTCAGTCACTTTCACCAGGCTGGGTGGTTGGGGTTTGAGAGGGTGTGCGGGCTGGAGCCGAGGGGTTTGCAGTGTTGGAGGGGGCTCCAGGCTGAGCCTGGGGCAGGGGGTTGGGGTGCAGGAGGGGATGAGGGGTTCAAGCTATGGGAGGGAGTTTGGGTGTAGGAGGGTCCTCCGGCCTGGGGCAGAGTGTTGAGGGGCAGGAGTGGGTGTGGGGTGCTGGCTCTGGGAGGGGGGTTGGGATGTGGGCTCCCACCAGGCGGCACTCACCTCGGGCAGCTCCCGGTCTGCGGTGCAGTGGGCTAAGGCAGGCTCCCTGCCTGCCACGGTCCCATGCCGCTCCTGGAAGGGGCCAACGCGCCCCTGCGGCCCGGGATGTGGGGGAAGGGAGGGTCACGTGGCTCTGCACGCTGCCCCTCTCTGCCAGCACCTCCTCCTCCGATCCCATTGGCGGTAGTGCCCCATTACCAGCCATTGGGAGCTGTGGGGGCAGTGCTTGTGGGAGCAGCGTGCGGAGACTCCTGGGTGTGCTGACCTCTTCCGAGAGTGGTGTGGGGCCGGGGCAGGCAGGGGGCCTGCCTTAGTGGCAGCCCCACTACACCACCCGACTTCTAGCCATCGTGATATACTGGGAGAGTCTCCAGGATCGACTAGTCAATTGCAATCGACTGGGTGGTGACCACTGATCTAGTCTGTGCTTTATTCATGAGTGCACTGGGGGTTTGAGGAGCTGGCAGCATTTGGTATCCTGCTTTTGTATTGAAAACTCTAGCCACCTTATTCTGTTTGAAGGAAATCTGGTGTGTGTGTATGTGTGTGGGAGTTACAAGCTCATAAAATACAGGAAAAATGTGCAAAGATCTTATGAAATGAAAGCACATGTGTACTGTGTGTGTTAACTCCTCAAACACAAAATGAGAAGCTTGTAGGTAAAACATATTAACACACTCAAGTCTCCAGTCTACTAATTAGGCCTTACTTTGCTTTTGTAGCTTATCTTGCATAGTAATCTACCCTTTTAGCAATTTACTGCTTTTTCAGCACCTAGGCTGTTAAGAAGTTTTAAATAAGTTAAAACATGTTCTTTTGATGCCAATTGGCTGGATAGGAGTGCAGGACACCAGATATTGACAGTTCTGACTTTAGCTGGTCCTGTCTTCAGGATTTTACTCTTGGTATCATTTTGATGCAAACAAACTGTCTCCCAATGTTGATAAATGCAAAGTAAAGCACATTGGAAAACATAATCTCAACTATACATATAAAATGAGGTCTAAATTAGCTGTTTCCACTCAAGAAAGAGATCTTGGAGTCATTTTGGATAGTTCTCTGAAAACATCCACTCAATGTGCAGCGGCAGTCAAAAACAAACAGAACGTTGGGAATCATTAAGAAAGGGATAGATAATAAGACAAAAATATCATATTGCCTCTATATAAATCTGTGGTATGCTCACATCTTGAATACTGCATGCAGATATGGTTGCCCCATCTCGAAAAAGATGTATTGGACTTGGAAAAGGTTCAGAAAAGGACAACAAAAATGATTAAGGGTATAGAACAGCTTCCATATGAGGAGAGATTAATTATGAGACTGGGACTTTTCAGCTTGGGAAAGAGATAACTAAGGGAGGATATGATAGAAGTCTATAAAATCATGACTGGTGTGGAGAAAGTAAATAAGGAAGTGTTATTTACTCATAATGCAAGAACTAGGGGCCACCAAATGAAATGAGTAGGCAGCAGGTTTAAAACAAACAAAAGGAAGTATTTCTTCACAGAGCATGCAGTCAACCTGTGGAACTCTTTTTGCCAGAGGATGTTGTGAAGGCGAAGACTATAAAAGGGTTTAAAAAAGAACTAGATAAGTTCAGGGAGGATAGGTCCAGCAATAGCTATTAGCCAGGATGGGCAGGGATGCAAAACCATACTGTGAAGTGTCCCTAGCCTCTGTTTGCAAGAAGCTGGGAATGAACAACAAGGGATGGATCACTTGATGATTACCTGTTCTGTTCATTCCCTCTGGGGCACCTGGCATAGGCCACTGTCAGAAGACAGGATACTGGGCTAGATGGACCTTTGGTCTGACCCAGTATGGCTGTTCTTATGTTATTACCTCCTTCACAAACCCACAGTGCGAGTAGAACTCTGGATCTTCAATTTTAAAGGCTAGAAGAGAAGGAAGCAACAATAGCTTGTGTTTCAGCTGGTTTTTGTTTCCCTGATCTGGGCTCAGCATGTGGCTTCTAGATTTGGAGTCAGTAAGCCAAGTCATGGAGAGAGTCCCTAGCTTCTCTGAATTGTTTAATTTTGGATGGTCTCAGTCCTCAGTTTGGAACCCTGGCTTCATCTAACTAATGAAACTGAGTGGTATCATTGGTCTGTGATTTGTCAAGTCGTCCTTTTGTTTAGTGCATGAAGAGTCCCTTGTCATGAATACTACATTTGATCAAGGTGCTCTTTGCACTCGGTGCAGACTTCAAGACTTGCATAGATTGGAGAATAGCGTTGGTATCTGACAGTCTTTGATTCAGGGTTTATATTGCGCTACATTACATCTGTCTATTCTTGAATCCTGACTCCTCCAGTGCCTGTGTGTGTGTCTTGTTGAGTAAAGGCAGAACTTCAGACGTGAGTGATTTAATACCATTGACGTTAGGGGTTGGGTAAGTAGCATAGGGGTTAATGTGTCACTCACTTCTCTGGCAATACTATTTACATTTTGCCTGGGTTACAAATGGCAGACATGTATAGACTTAAGTTTTATGTGATGTAGGTATTTTTAGTAAAAGTCACAGGATGTGGGCAATGAATAGTAAATCACGGAAACCGGAGCTCCGCCACCTGGGGCTGAAATCGCAGAGGTCACACAAAATCACCGAATCCCTAACCTTTGTGACAGACTCATGGCCTTAGGTATAATTTCCTGTTTGTGCTCTGAGAATCCTAGGGCAGAAGTCCTACAGGTCAGAGGTACAGTAACAGCAGTGTGGGGAAGTCTGCGTGGCTTATTTCAATGCCAGCAGTCTCTCTTTCAGAGGTATTCTAACTTATAGTTTTTATTAGGTGAATTCAGTCTTCCCCAGGTGGGCAGTATGGGAAACAAATCCAATGGCTTTGTTAGGCGTGGTAAGTGTAGATCTGTTGCTTATTTTCAGTGAGGATGGAAAAGGCTACTCATTTGAGTACCCAAGGAGAGATGTTTGGAAGTGTGGTGTGAATGCTTACAAGACTGTACTTCACTTGCTACGTTGCTGATGTTCTGGTGGGTTTCAGGGATCAGAGGAAGCAGTTCCAGGTGCTGGTGGAGAACAAATTCTATGAATGGCTAATTCACACAGGACATCGTCAGCAGCTGGACAGCCTCGTGCCTCCTGCAGCAGGCGCCAAGCAAGCGGCAGGATAGGATGCTCTCCTTTAACAGAAGGAAAGGAAGGGTGAGTACTGGGACAGTTTCTCTCCTGCTACATGATAGAGAAATTGTCATACTACTTTACATACATTTGTGTGCACATGGTATCCAGATGGGAACAATGAGTGTGAAATTGTCCGTGGGCCTCCTCCCAACAGCCTGAGATCTGGCTTTGGTTTTCAGTTAGGAGCCAGAACCTCCTCTGAGCTTCTATCTGCTCCCTTGTTTACTCCAATTCTTCCTTCCGTCCCCATGGCCCTTCTGGCTGAAGAGCTCTTTATGGGTCTCTGATTTCAGTTTCTGACAGAATAATCTTGAAATGAGGTTGAAGTACTTCACTTATGCCTCTGGTCTGTGTATAGTATCTGTCTCTGACAGACCAGCCTGCATGTGTCTGCATAGACAAGATACGTGCTTCAGGTATAGTCTGAGACCAGATCAGTTAGAACAGCCTAATTGTTCTGATGCCTTTACTTGCCCCTCATCTCCTGCTGCTCACCAGGTACCTGAGGGCTTGTCTACATGGGGGTTTCATCCACAGTAGCTCAAGTCAGACTGGTGTGAAAATGCCTGTGCACTCACGATACAATTCCTTAGAGCGCAGTTATACCACAAACTCTGGAATCCTCTTTCAAAGTGTGTTATGTTCGATTGAGTTAGTGCAGTTGGTTGTATGCACGCAGTGCTGTCATGCGCTACTTTGGCAGTTATTCAGCTGGTATCCCACGTTGCTGTGCGTGTGTCCATTATTGATCTGTCTGTTTACCTGTGCGCCCTCCACTGCTCTGGGGTGAAGTTGACTGGATGTTCCTTTCCCTGTTTAAAAATTGCCATGGGAACAGAGTTTTCCCATTTGCTCCTGGATTCAGATATATCGGCATTCCTTCACACTCCAGCAGCCTTTACAACATGCCTTGAGCACCCACTTGGAGCCTTGCTGTGCCTCAGATCTCATCGCCACCTGGGGATCAGTGCAGCAAGTTCTTGTGGCCAGCCACCAGATAAAGGATCTCTTTGTGGACATTGCTAAGTAGAGGTCCATGAGGGGCCATAACCAGGATGCTGACCAGTGTGGGATAAAGAGCAAACAGCTCAGGAAGACTTATATTAAAGCCAGGGGTGCCAGGAAAAGATCCAGCAGTGGAATTGTATTCTGCCTATTTCTTGAGGAACTGGATGGGCTTTTGATCAATTACATCGTTACCAAGCCCAAGGAGCTGTGGACCCTGATGCTCTCCCTGTAGACTGCAGACAAGTGGCAAAAGTCATCAGAGGAGGAACATGAGGAGGGCAGTGAGGGGCTCTCCCCAGAAAGTCAGGATCTCGTCAGGAATCAGGACCCTAATTCTGGCTATGTGGGTGAGCCAGAAACCAGGTTGAGACTGAGAGGCAGATTACATGCCCTCCATAGGATCTACCTTTACAATGTATTATTGTTATATGACACCACTGTGCTAGCTTCTGATCCAAGTGTCCCATGGCTACAGTCTTTTTTGGCGGGTGGGAGCTGGGAGCCTTTCCAAATCTCCAGTACTTGCCTCCCTTTCTTATCCCACGTTTTCAAAATGGTGTCTACTCCAGCCGAGCAATAGGCTTCTGTCTCAGGTGAAAACTTTTCTTTTTTCTTTTCTTTCTTTTCTCCTGTCTGTCCTGTCTGGCAAATACGAGCTCCCCCCTCACCCCCAAAACCCCTGTCCATCTGCTCAAAATAGTGGCTGGCAGCATGGCACAGCTGCAGTCTTTACTCCATCTCACTCCCTAGCTCCCCTCCCGCAGCATATTGGAATAATGAAAACACTCAGTTGTACAACTTTGAACCATTTGGGACAATGGCTCGGGGCAAAGGGGTTTGGTTAGTATTCTCAGATGACATGGGCATTGCATACCTGTAAAGCACTACTCCTACAGCTCCCTGCTGAGGCATAAACACGCATTTGTACAGGAAAGAGGTCCACCTTACGGATAGCATACAGCTTTTAATGTCTTTCCACAGGCTTATATAGAGAGAGGATTGGAGCAGTTCGTGCTTCGGACAGTCAGTGCAGAACCTGATGTTTTTCTCTACACTTTCAGCATGTCTGCAGGGGTGATAAAGTAGAACCAGAGAAATTGCTTGACTTCCACCCCCACCCCCTATCTGCACTTTATCTGGGATAGATGCACAGTCATTGCCCTGGCATTCCCTCCACTCTGGCCACACTTCTGGGGGACCAGCTTGGTGAAGAACTTCACAGTGATGTCACTAGTGTGCCTTTGCCATTGTGAATAAGGCTGTTCTCTGTCGCCTAGTCACCTGCTTCAGTGTAACATCACTGAGAGTCAGGCCACGGATTACTATCCCGCTCGTTCCATATGCTCCCCACTAACTCCTTGGACGCCATAGAAACAACTCCAAGGTGCAGCCAAATTGCAAAACCAGAGTGGGAACATAATTCCCAATCCCACCCTCAGCTTCCGAGGCACAGCTGCAACTCAAGCCAATCTAGCCCTGCTATGCACACACGGCCTGCTGGCTACGAGGGGCCCACCAAGACCAGAAGAATCTTGGGGGTGGTGGGGTGGGAATGAGAGAGACGTGTTAAAGAGGCTAGTCTAGCCTGTCCAGAATCCCACTAACATCTGCTTGGCTCAGTTTTTTCACTACCCCCTCAGCAATGGCACCTGCAGTGGCCAGACCTTCAAGGACAGGGCCTTTATCCATGGCTGGTAGGGAAGAAACAGAGAACTTGGGATGAAATATCCAGCTTTCATTGTAGACTCCCCTCCCCACAAATAAAAAGAAACCGGTGAAGAGCTGGTGATTGTATTTGATGTCAGAGAGGGAAGAAGACCAGGAGCTATTGAACAAGAGGGTTGAAGTGGCTGGAAACAGTGTCACCGTGGCTAGGGACAGCGTTGCTATGGCAAAAGGCACTGTGGAGGAAGACAGAGAAATGCGGAGGCAACTCGGGGAGGTTGTTCAAGCTCAGAATGCTCTGCTGCAGTGCATGCTGTGAGTGGGCACACTGACAATCCAGTGCCCTCAGCCAGGACCCAGCCATGTTATTCTTTGAGTGATTGCTCATATTGATTCCAGTTAGGTGTGTGCAGTCGTCAGAAAGTTTTTCCCTTAGCAGCACCCATCAGGTTGGCTGTGGAGCCCCTTGGAGCGGCGCCTTCATGGTGCTCAATATATGACCCTGCCGACCTGGCACCTCCTCTGTTCCTTCTTACAGCCAGTGATGGTCTTTGGAAATGTGGCATCTTGCCTGGCAAGTTCTACCACATTTCCCTGACTTTGTTTGTTTGTTCTCTATACATATTAGTTAGTTTAATTGTTTGTTAGTATTAGTAGTTAGCAGTTGGGCTGGGGGGTTATCCTCTGTCCCGACTGCTTTTTCTTGGGAGGGCTGCCATGTCCAAGTCCCAGGGGTTCAAGTCCTGCAACAAGCCCATGCCAATGGGCGACCCCCGTGACGGTTGTTTAAAGTGTCCGGGGGAGGCTCACCAAGCCAATTGGTGCAGGATTTGTAAGGGGTTTTGCCCCAGAACCAAAAAGCAGCGAGACTTTTGCCTTATGGAGGTGGCACTTAGACCTCAGCCTCTGCCGGTGCGGCAGGACCTGGCGCTGATCTCATGTGGTGCGTGGTGACGGCAGCAGTGGTGGAAGTAGCACCACGGGTGGACTCTGGCAGAGACCTGTGGCACCGCCGCTCCCCAGCACCGAAACTGGCAGGACCCAGCATCGCTTCCACTCTCTGGTGCAGAAGCGGCACTGGAAGCAAGGGAGGAGCAGCTCTCCGTCCCAGAGGTCCACCCCTCTGGAGCCGGCCAACGGGGCACGTCCTCGTTAGGAGCACCCAGTGCCGAAGTCTGCAGAGACAGCACCGTCGACTTTGGCCCCGCAAGGGGGACCGTTGAGTCTGGTGCCGTTGGACTCTCCGGTCCAGGTCATCGAGGAAGTGGAGCTGGCCATCCGCCCCGGACACCTTTGAGGCTGCAAGGGACCTCACTGCATTGACAGCGCCCAGGTCACCCACTCTTTGCTCCAAGCTTCTGATACCACATCGTACGGCACCGTCTCGAGGCAAACCAGTGATGCTCCAGCCGTTGGCACTGCTGATAAAGTCTCGGCGCCACTCTAGGTTGCACCAGCGCTCCCGCTCGCAGCGCCGATCCCCACGTCGATCCCCATCATGCAACAGGTTCCTGTCCCAATGCCGCTTAGCGACCCCGCGCAGCTCCAGGTTGCGGCATCGCTGCAGGTCGCAGCACTGCTCTCCAGCCCTCGACATGAAGAACATGTATTTCCATATAGCAATTCGTCCCGCACATTGGCACTTCCTATTCTTTGTGGTCAACCGCAAACATTACCAATTCGCTGTCCTACCATTAGGCTTCTCAACAGCCTCCCAAGTGTTCACCAAGTGCATGCTGGTCGTGGCTGCTTTCCTCCGTTGACAACAGGTGCAGATATACCCCTATCTCGACGACTGGCTGCTCAGGGGCCGCACCAAGGGATAGGTGCAATCCCAAATCTGTTTGCTCAGGTGCACATTTGTTCGACAGGGTCTCCTCCTCAACTTGGGGAAGTCGACCTTGGAATCGACCCAAAGAATAGAATTCATTTGGGCAGTGTTAGACTTGTATCAGGCACAGGCCCTTCTACTGGAGTCCCGATTCTGAGCCATCACAGACATAATTCAAAGCCTCCAACAATTCCCAGCCACAACAGCAAAGGGTTGCCCGAGTCGCCTCGGCCACGTGGCTGCCTGCACTTACGTGACCCAGTATGCCAGGCTGTGGCTTAGACTTTTGCAGGCATGGCTTGCTTCGGCCTACTACCTGGGGCGCAACAGCTTGAATTCAGTGGTCACGGTGCCAGGGCAGGTCCTGACATCCCTCCATTCTTAACACACACTGCCCAAGGGTGGAGCGTGAAGGAATCCCCTTCCACAACCCTCAACCTTCCTTGTCCCTTGACACGGACACGTCGGCTCTGGGATGGGGGTGCATCTGGGAGACCTCCAGACGCAGGGCCTGTGGTCCCAGGACGAGCTCTCCCTACATAGCAACATCAGGGAGCTGAGGGTGGTGCACCTAGCCTGCCAGGCCTTTCAGGCCTGAGTACAAGGCCAGTGCGTAGCAGTTACCACCATGTTTTACATCAACAAGCAAGGGGAAGCCCGTTCCTCTCCCCTATGCCAGGAGGCCTTCCAGCTGTGGGAGTTCTGCATAACCCAGTCCATTCACCTGGAAGTGTCCTTTCTCCTAGGAATTCAGAACACGCTGGCGGATTGCCTCAGCAGGTCCTTCTGCACACACGAGTGGTCCATCTGGCCGGATGTCATACACCTCATTTTCCAAAGGTGGGGGTTTCCCCAGGTCAACCTGTTTGCCACCCAACGCAACAGGAAATGCCCACTGTTCTGCTTCTTCCAGGGTCACAGCCCAGGCTCCCTCACGGACACATTCTTGCTATCCTGGAGAGGTCGCCTGCTCTATGCCTTTTCCCCCATTCCCTCTCATGCTCAAGGCCCACAGGCGTGGCCTCGACAACCCTGGTACAGTACTCTACTGGAGCGGTCACTGGGCGCACCGGTCACGTTACCTCTCCTCCCTGACCCAAGCTCAGGGCAGCGAGAGCAATTGCACCTGGGAACGTAGCTCTTTTGAGTCATCCAGTGCCCCTGATAACTTCGAGCCCTGCCACTCAACACCAGACACCCCAAGAACAAGAGGCAACAAGGAGGCGTGTACTCACCCCTTGTTGTAGTCTGCCGTCCACTGCACTGTCACTTTAAAGCTTTGTTTCATTGTTTAATTAAAGCTTCATTTCTGCTGGTTTAAAAATCCATTCAGAAAGAGTCAGCGATGCACTTTATACAGGCAGTCCATTCATTTTGACTAAGTCAGAGGTTTTTACAAAAGGGTAAAGGCACAGACAAGATAAAATAAGGATTGCCACATCTACCACCTATCAAAGAAACAGCACAGTTCACAATCCATTCCCTTTGGGATAACAGCTGGATGTATAGCTGCACATTTTCAGGCCTGAAACTCCAGGAGCCATAGCCTGCATTGACTGTTTCCATTTTCCGTTGGGCATTTTGCTGGCTGCTCAGACCCCTGAGCAAGTGTCTTCACCTCAGCCTCCCACCCATTGGAAAGCCTCCCACCCTCTCACTTACTATCTCAATTATTGCGCAAAATATAACCTGCAGCATGGGGTTTTTCTTTCTCCAGCTTCTAACCTATTCCACAAACAGTGCCACCTTCCTTGCAGGTGGCCAAGTACACACTCTGCTGTCATTCTGCAGCTACTGAGGTGATAGGGTCATGAACCAGGGCAGCAGCAGCAGAGTCTCCCACGATAACTGGAGCAATTCCCACACCATTAATATCCAGAACTATGCTGGGGGCAAATTCTCCTTTATTCCCTCAGATAATTAGAGCTGAGTGTTGAAAGAGCCTAGCATTGTGGGACTTTCCAGACCACCCTATGTTTGTGAACCTGCCACAGTGATCAACCAGCCCTTGGAACACCATAAAGAAATATCCCTCTGGTCATACACTCTGAGCCATGGTGTGGGGGACAAGCAGTTGGCATGTAGATCCCATCAGTTGCCCCAATGCTGTTTGGGAACCCCACACTTGAAAAGCCATCAACTTTCTCCTGAATACTACAAATTGGCTGGTTATGGACCAGTAGCATTTGGAGGTGGCCAGCTTGCACATGGCATTGGTGACCAGCATGTCTATGGGTTTGGGCACCACATGTTGGTATGCTGCCGCTGCAGCTCTGGGGCTAGCTCAGTGCAGATATCAAAAAAGATAGTCCTCGCCATCCTGAAATTCTCTCATCACTGCTGGTCATCCCAGGTCTAGGGAACGATCCTTTCCTACCAATCCCCACTGGTTTCCCAATCCCTGAAAAGGTGTTGCACAGTGTTCCTGCTCCAGGAACAGCTCCAGTAGTAGCAGTTGCTCTGTGTCATCCTTGTCTTCGTCCTTGTTCCTCCACCACTGCCCGAGCTGCTGCTGGAGCCGCCACATCTGCTCAGTAGTGCAGTGGGTGAAGTCCAAAGACAAAGCCAAGTCACTCAGCTCGAGAGCTGAACTACATTCCAGACAGCCTCTACCTGTATGCAGTTGCCAGCATAGTGGTGTGGAGCATTGCTGGGTCCATGCTGGCTGACAGCAATTTGCAAATGGCACTCGCCTCTCCAGAAAGAGGGGAATGATGGGCTGGAGAGAGCTGACGCATGGGATGTTTTTGAATTTACTCCAAGTCCTGGAATTCCACTGCCGCCTTCTATGCATCCCACTGCATGCAGTGAGAACATCCCCAGCATGCACACTGCTTAGTGTTGAAGCAAAGGACCGTGAGGTACCCTCCGAGAATGCCAAGCGCTTAGTGCACAGGAAGCCCCTGCCATGTGGACACACAGATGCAAACTGAAAGAAGGCACAGCCAGCCCATGTGCACACTATTAGTGCAGCTTGCATATTGTGCATTAATTCTGCAGATTAATCGCTCTGTAGACAAGCCCTTAGTGGCCACTTCCATGATGCTTCAAAGAATGCTTTCCCTTATAATCTCTTGAATTTCTTAGTGGTGATGCACAAGGAGCCAGACACTTGCCCATGGTATGGATACAATCACCACGCATTTGAAATAGTTTGCTAAATGAAACTGATCATGCTCTGGGTTTTTCTCCAGCAAGCTGTTGGCCTGGGGAGGGGAAGTCACTGAATTGTTGGAGTGAACTCGTGTTTTGTTACAGAGTTGTGAAGATGGATGGTGACAAGCTGACGGTGGTTTCCAGTGAATACTTTGAGGCCATGCTGGTTAGACATTCCCATGGTGTTGCAAATTAATGAGGATATCTGGACCTCTGCATCAGCATGAGCTGGACACTTTTTTTTGCCCTGTTCAAGACATCACTGCATCACCTTGCTCCTTTCCAGGACCTGGGGTACATCAACTCCAGCTGGCTTCAGGAGGAAACCAGATGAAGGATTGCGTGGTAAGGAACGGTGATGCAAAGACAAGCCTGCGGTTTGCTGTGGGCCTCTTAGGCAGGGTGGGTGCCTAGTTAAAATTCTGGGCATGTACGTGTCTTGCGAAGGCACTCACCTTGGTGTGACACTGGCCGCAGGGACATGAGGCTGTTGTGTGCACCTGTCTGGGGAAGAGCTTGTTACTCCCTTTCATAAATGATAATCAAATGTTTGATTTATTTTTTTCCCCTCTCTCCAGTGTGTAAAATGAACTCGAGGTATTTTTCTATGTGGAGATGGCGTTAGCACTTAAAGGATGAAGTTTCATGAAATTGCCTAGGTCTTTTTCTTTGCCTCCTCCTTGCTTCTGTGAAATGTCAATAAATGGAATTTTAAGCCAAGTCAGGCATGTTTCCTACGAAAAGATTTCTCAGTAATGAGGTGGCCAAGGATTGAGGGGGCTCAGCCCCCCAGATCTGAGCAACCCTAGCCCAGCTCAGTGGGTGAAGCTCTGCCTCTGGCAGTTCCAAGCTGGCTTGGCACGGAGCTGCCTGCCTGCCAAGTAGCAGGACAAGCAGGAAAGTCGCTAGAGGCAGCAGCAAGAAGGGTGTGCCAGGTCCCCGCGTGGTGCAGAGTCCTTCCTGAGTGCAGCCATGCCCAGTGCTGGTGTGGTGGGGGCAAGGGCCCTCTCAGCTGTTGCCTGGGTGCAGAACTGGCTCTGGAGTTGGTGCCAGGCAGGGCAGGAGTGAGCAAGAGGGAAGGGGCTGCAGAGAAAGGAGCCAGACACAGCCATCCAGCTCCCAAATAACCCCCCACCCAACGTTGTCCTCCTGCCCCAAATAAACTCAAGCCTCACAAAACCTCCTCCTGTTACAGCCCCCCCACTCATCCCCCTCCCATTTAGAAGAGCCTGCCACAGCAAATCTGTGAATCCTGAGAGTCAACAGGCCAGCGTGGAGAGCTAGGCTCAGCCCTGTGCGTGTGAGGGGGCCTCACTCTCCTATTGCTCCCCAGCCCTCCCCTGCACACAGGCTGGGATGGAGAGAGCAACCTGCACACATGCACTGGAGAGCAGCATCTGACTGTTTTGACTCATTTCTTCCCACCACAAAGAATATTTTCACTAGCCACCTACGGTTCTAGCTCCTGTGATGCTCTAATAACATATAAACGTGGTCATATTTCATGTGGGGGGGGAACGTTAATTCCCTTAGCAACAGTGGGTGAGACATCTCAATCCTGGAGGTCAGTGAGTATAGTATCAGCCATGGCATCCCTGACATGACAGTAGTTTGATCTGAGCAGCGTTTCTTGTCATCAATATTTCAGCTTCCCACAGTTGAAAATCAGCAGGAGTGGGTCTCACCCTCATTTCCTGCTCTCAAGACAACCAGTCTCCAAGTGTATGTCCACATGGGGATAAAAACTAACCCACGGCTGGCCTGAGTCAGCTTGGCATTTGGGCTTAGGCTCCAGCCTGAGCTTGAAGTCTACGCTGCAATTTTTAGCCCCCCAGCGAATGCCCCTCACTTTCGAGTCAGCTGACCCAGGGGCTTGTGGGGTATGTCTGAGTGACCAGGTCACAATTAGTGAGGCAAACGAGGTAAGCTGCTGCGTGATTGATTGCATGCAACATAGTGAGATGTTTATCTGAACCACCCAACTGACAAATGTGAAACAGAGAAACCAAATGTGTGGAGCACAAGGAAAATAAAAGGATCTGATGTGCTAGCCTCGATGACATCTGGAACTATGCATGCATAAGTCAGCATTTCCAGAAGGCTCCTGGAGCCAGTAAGTGGGAGGGAGAAGGGGGTTGAGGTATGGTCTGAGGAGAGACAGTGGGGCCACATGTTCAGCTGGTGCAAATTGGTATAGCTCCGTTGACTTCAGTGTAGGAGTGATGTCTGATTGACAGCAGCTGGTGATCTAGCCTTCTGGTGTTCAGCCAAAACTCTCCTAGCCATCAGTGGGCATTTGTTTTGCCTGAGTAACAAGTGAAGGTAAGACTTGGACGTGGCTCTTAGAGGTGTGGGACAAACCCAGCTACACCCTCAGGTTACTATCCAATCCAAAGTGGTGATGATGATTAAAATCTAATTTGGCAACAGACTCTCATAGCTTTGTAATGTCACAATTTTGCCCCCCACAGGACAACTTACTCAAGCAAACTCCCTTTCCCCCATCCCTTGCCCTCCCCCCACCCCCTCCCCAAGTGGAAGTCTGTCCTAGGCCCAGGGAAGAAATGGAGGTGTTGGCTCTGATGTGCACCTACTCAGCATTTAAATGGGGGACGTGGGATAGCAAAAGGGAATCCAGTTCTGGGATTAATATACCGAGCCACTGTAGCTCCCTTCAGTGGAAGCTGGGTCCTAGGCTGGATGCTGGAATCTTCATAAACAGCTCTTGGATTAATGGTGGTGAGTGGCCTCACATGCTAGCAGAAAACCAGTGTGTGTAAGCCATAGACCCTGATACTTAAAGGATTAGGCAGGAAGGAGAATGGAATGCCATTGGGCAGATATCTAGTTCAACCTATTGGCCCCAGGGTGCCTCTGGAGTTGGCAGGGTTTAAAGGTGTGCTGGTTTAGACAGCAGCGTGTGGAATCAAAGGGATGAAATGGATCCGTTCTGACAGACTTGAAATAACAGCGGAATGGTTCAGGCGCTGCTTGCCAAATTCATCTGCTGTCTTTGTCTCTCTAAGCCTTTGGAGTGGTGCCAGCAATAGCTGGAGAGGTGTTTATAGTTATAACAGAGTGACTTCTGGGGGCACAGACATCTGCACCCCTGTGTTCCATGCTTTGTACCCCGCTCTGATTGTGGTAAGTATTTACCTAGCCCAGTGCATCGCGTCAGTGTAAGGGTGTCCCTAAGGAGGATGTACCTGACTCTGACATGTCCTTCCTGTAGGACTGTGGACACCTCACTTAATCTCTCTGTGCTTCACGTTCCTCATCGTAAAATGGGGATAAAAATCCCTCCTTCGGGTATGTCTGTTAATGTTCTTAACAGCAGTTTGAGCCCCTCAAATGGAGGGTGCTATAGAAATAATGCCCTAGGTCTTATCTAGAGATCCCTAGATCTCAAAGCACTCTACACAGGTCAGTATTTCTTTCCCCATTTTATAGATGGAGAAACTGAGGCACAGAGAGACGTGACTGGCCCAAGGTCACCCAGCAGACTACCGGCAGAGCCAGGTATAGAATGAGTCCCAGTCCAATGCTCTATCCACTAGGCCACGCTGCCCCAGTTCAGTGTTATCACTGCTGCACAGACGTTCCTGTTACTTGCTTTCAGATAGTGTCCTCTAAGCAGAGGCCATTCTCTCCAGCTCTCTTCCCACCTTTCAGCTGAGCATGTGTTTATGATCTCCCCACTGCACCTTGCAACAGTTAGAAAATGTCCTCTCACAAGGCTTGGTTCCTTTTTACAGAGGGACGTAGGACCTCGGAACCTTGGATCCTAGTCGGTGGTGATCTTTTATTGGAATGTTCAAAGCAGAGAGAGCAGCCAAACTGTGTCATCCCCCTAGGCTTCTTAGTTGGACTGTTTTGGTGTTCTGACTCAGCAGACCATTCTGCCCTGATGATGCAATAGCAAAAAAAGCGTACAATGAAGCCTCCCTTTATTCCCTAATCCTGTTTGCTTTTCTAGAAACAATCCCTAGCCCTAGCATCACTGACTTAATTCTTGGATCCCATTTTCATGACAAAGCGAATGTCTGGTACAAAAGGAGCCTTATAAAAAGGGCCTCCCAGATTCTGGCCCTTCGCAGTTGCTTCTGGAATTCCTGCAGCAATTGGGGTGTAGTGTCTAGAACGGAAAATGTCCAAAACAGGAACCAGGGTAAGTTTGTTTGTGTATCCTTCTGAGGGGACAAGATGCAACTTAGGAAGTTGCTCTTGTTTACAAACATGGCAGAAATGTAGCAGGAGCTTAGGGTAATAGAGCAGAATTTAGCACAGTGGTAGAATAGTCTGTTAATTCTCTGAAAGAAGATCAATGAATAAAAAGCAAGTGATTCAAAAATGTACGTGGCTTTTCCACTGGGGACAGGAGCTTTTCAAACCGAAAGCTCGCTCAGAGAGATAAAATGACTATTTAAAATACAGGGCTGTATTTTGAGTGACAAAGATGGTCTTTCCTCCCTTTTTCTTCACACTGGATATTTCTCTTTCTACTACAGTACATCAGGAGAGCGGAGGTGGGAGGCGAATGCTGTGGCTGTTGGGGAGACTTTCAAATGTGCCCCAGTGCTTCATGCTCTCCTCGGTGTCTTACTGGGGAGAGCTGCTGTGCCGTGAAGAGAGTGGCAAGCTTGCGGGAAGATGCCCTGAGTGTCTGCAAAGCATCTGAGTTCCAAAGCTAGCAGCCAGCACCAGTGTATGCTCCATAGTCAGGCTGTCGAGAAGGAAGTACAGCATGGCTGCTGGGATGCTGATGCCTGACTCTGATCACAGGCGGGGGGAGACCAGTTGTGTGAAATGTGTAATACTGCCAAAGAGGGCACTGCCCAGACACTTGAGCTTCTTCAGGGTATGTTTAGAGTGAGCCTCCCAGCCCTGGGTGACAGACTTGGGCTAGCAGGGCTTGTGCCAGCACTTGTGCAGACAGTGCTTTGAAGGAGCCACTAGGGCTCTGAAGCCCACACCCTTCCCTAGCCGAGCTGCGGCTTCAAAGTGCTGTCTGCACCATTATTTCTAGAGCACTAGCGTGAGCCCGGCAAGCCCAAGTCTGATGCTCCAAAATGCTGGGTAGACCTACCCTCAGACTACAGTACTGAACCCAGGGATGTTGAGAGCAGCTTTCCCCCTGACTTCAGTGTGGGTGGGAGCAGGCCCTCCACTTTGGACTCCTAGCAGGTTTAAACCAGACAGGGATGTAGCTCACAACCCTACGTTCTGCCTAGGGATCAAAGTGCATGAGACTGAGAGCCTGGGTGCTGGTTCCCAGTTGTGTGCTGCCTCGCTGAGTGACCCTGGGCATACAGCCAAAATCTGAACTTCTTGCTCCCACTGGGGGACACGCTGGAGTGACCCTTCATTGCTCTGTGTGCCCGTATGTAAAACGGGCACAATGACACTGCACAGGCATGCTGTGCAATAATATTCTTGTCATCCGCTCCTGTCTCTGAGTCCCATCGCAGCATGAGAATGGGGCACTGCAGGCAGGCAGAGATCTGCCCCGGTATCAGGTGGGCAAAAGAATTTGCTCATGTAGAACTTACTTCACCTCTGGAACCTAAGCTCTTCTAAGCAGGGGGAAAGGTGCTTTGTCTGACAGCTGGTGGTGTTGGGGCTGAGCCTGCTGGCGGACAGTAACTGACTAAAGATCAAGGACAAAGGTTCACTCACTGCTTTGCTAATGTAACTTAAACTCTGTGGAGCAGGAGACTCTAGTGTCCTCTGAGAGGCGGGATGGCTCAGTGGTTAGGGCACTTGCCTAGGACTCGGGAGACCTGAGTTCAATTCCCTGCTGTGCCACTTCCCTGCTGGTTAGAGCTGAGACGTCTCACTTGAACTAATGATCTGTGCCCACCTGCAGTGAAGGAGCTTAGTAGAGGGCTCGTGGGGAGGAGCGTGTTCCTTACAAATTCCTATGAGCTCTTTTCACTAAGACTAAACATACTGATGTTTATTGTTAGTCCAATCTTTGCCCTGTGGACATAAACTTCAGGGGTTCTCAGTTCTCTTTGTGATCATGTTTGAAGGGGGATGGGAAACAGCTTGCAAACAGGAGCAGTGAATTGTTCTCTCTGACTACAAAACTTTGATTAGGGAAGTCAAATGTATCTTACAAATTTCACTTCTGAAACTTTGTTTCAGTGGCAAAAAAAAAGATGGCCAGGTTATGGCACTATAGCATAGGATGTGGAAACAGGCTGCTGTGTGTTATACATAGAGACTGTGAGAACTATGAAAGGGAAAATCATGCAGTTAATAGATAAGGCCCGATTATGCAAACATGCACGTGCTTAGCTTTAAAGCACACGAGTAGCCCTTTCACACAGTATTTGGAGGACTGGAGCCTAAATGTCTTTACCTCTGTTACTAACCATCCCTGAAATAATTAAAATGACAATTGATGTGAACCAAACTAACTTTTTCCCTCTCGATGGTTTGTTTACTTTTTGCATTTCCCTTAGCGTGGCCAATGAAAACAGACTGTTTCATTCTTCAAAATTAGAACAGGACTGTGGCGTTTGGGTTGCAAACAGCGGTGCCAACCCTGCAGTTCTTGTTACAAAAGCTAGCCTTCCCTTGGGCTACTCGCTCTTCTAGGGACTATTGGTGGGCATGAGGCGTCACAGGATTGGGCCCACAGCACGCAATTTAAACCAAAGCAACACTTCCCTCTCCACCCACCCCAATTTTTTTTATTGCATCTTTCTTTGAATGTCATTCAAACCATTCTAATAATATTAAGCTTTGTCATTTCTTCCCAGGGCAGTCCCCTTTAACTGCTCATGGTTAATGATGCGCCTTTATGTTAAAGGCAGTAGCTAAGGAGTCAGCCTTGTTCAAATGGTGCAGTTTCAACTAACACATGCTTGCTTCAGTGACAGCACTTGCAGTTCTCACCCCCTCAGGCTGACTCTTCGCTGCTTTTGCCCAAGAGCCATCGACTGAGCCGTCACCATCTGTTTGGGAGAAGGAACCTCCCCTCTCTCTGCTTTGCTTGTGTTTCAGATCACTTTCTACGAAGAAAAGCATTTCCAGGGCCGTCGCTATGAGTGTGACAGTGACTGCCCTGATTTTCACACCTACCTAAGCCGCTGCAACTCCATCCGAGTGGAGGGGGGTGCCTGGGTTGTCTATGAGCGGCCTAACTTTGCAGGGAACATGTTCGTTCTGACCCACGGCGAGTACCCCGAGTACCAGCGCTGGATGGGCCTTAATGACCGCCTCAGCTCATGCAAAGCCATTCACTTAGTAAGTCTGACCTTCCCTTCCTCTCCCCAGTCTCCCCCAAAGCACATGTGTTGCTGCTGCTCCTCCTCCATAACACACGGGTGGGATATTCCTAGATATACTTGAGAACGAGGTAACAGAATCCCAACAGGTCACATGGGACAATTTCTGCATCATCAGAAGGTTGCAATCTTAGGGGCAAGTGAACAAACCATAACCCTGGGAAGGCCTGGAGAGTAAGAAAACCTTCCCAGGAAAGCTGCAGTGTTTTCATGTAGTACGTAGCTGAAGTTCTATTGAAATGCTGCTGCAGCTCAGTCTAATCCATAACAGAGGGAAATGCTCTGAGCTTCCCCATGGCCCTGTGAAGTGGGGCAAAGAAATTTGATGTCAACAGATAAAGAGAAACTCCCCCACTGATTTCAGTGAGAACAGCAGTTTGCTTTGGGCAGGTTGTAGGTAAGTTTCAGTGGATACCTCTAACAATTGAGGTGTCGGTGTAATTTTGTTTGGAAATAACATTGCTGCAGTTTGCTTCTAGGCAGCTGGGGTTTGGAATTTATACAGGGGAGGTGGTTACTCTGTACCCTGCTTTCTTGAGTTTGCTCCTCTACTCTCCTTGCTCCTTTTCCCTGCAGATGCAGCTTGCAGCAGCTGGTGTGTACACAGGGTGACATTTCCCTAAGCACCTATGTCAGTTAGGGGCACAAGCCCCCTGGGAATTTCCATCCCTGGGATTTGTGCTCTCCACTCAGTTGCTTTAGAGAATCTCCGCTGTACGGCCTGTGCCAGCCTGCGTTTGTCTGAACCTCTGTAGCTTGTTTCCCACTCCGCTCCCTGCTAGAACCGATCTCCTGGTCGTTCAGTTTCAGTGCGACTGGCACTAGAGAGAGGAGTTGGCTGGCAGGCAGTAGCTCAGTCCCCCACCCCCACAGGTGGGGTGTAGGTAAGGGGATGGTTCCCCAAGGAGCATTCTGCTGGTGAGGGCTTGCAGGTGCCTGCCTGTGCACAAATCCCCCACCCCATCTGCCTAGTTAAAGTTGATTGAAAACAAAACCTCTTGCCCCCTCTTCCTAGGGATTCAAAGTATGTTTGGAGATACGAGACAGCATGCTGCCTGCTTTCCCCATTGACTCAGTTGGACACAGGCTCCATCCCTTTCACTCAGTCAAACTTCCAGCTGCTTCATGACGTGTGTGTGGCCTGCATGGATGGAGCTCGCTGTCTGTAGCAGGGGCTGGGAAGGACAGCGAGGATGTTAAATAAAGCCAATTGCGTTTTGATACAAGACTTTCAGTAGAGGGCAGCGTCCCCTACTCGTGGAGGGCAAAGTCCCCTTTGCCCCATGCTAGAGGCAGAAGGGAGCAATGAAGTGGGTGGAAATGGCTCCTAAGAACAGCTCCAGCTCACAGAGGGCTGTTCTTGCTTCTCAGGAACTTTAGCAGAGCATGGGGAGCAGTCCCTCAACTGCCCAAGCCTAGAGAGTACAAAAGGGGAATTTTAAGCACAGTCTCACCTCAGGCACCTGTACTAAATGCAGGAACATTGGATCTAAGATTTCTCATTCTACCCTGGTTGCAAATTGCTCCATCCAAGCATTTAAGTAGCTCCTGCTAGCACTCGCAGAGCATAGGGCCTGGCCTTTGGGATACTGGCAGTGCCCCTGCTTCACTGAGGAATCCATGCTTACCCGCTCTTACACAGGAGTGGAAGTGAGCTCTATCCTGCAGCTTGTGCTGACACCAGCTCACCTTGTGGGCAACCTGCTGAGTCAGCAAGGGGCAGAGAATGCTCAATAGTGGTGCGAAAGAAACAGCTGACACAAGGTGGACGGGAAGGCTGGTTCCCTTCCAGAAGTTTAGAGGAAGGGAATGTGGGGTAGCCTGGCACTTAGGCTGGCAGGGTGTGACAGGGTAATTAAGGTGTCTACCCCGAGTACAGGGCAATGGGACCCTAAGTGAAGTGCGGGCAGTTTTCCCAGGGCATCCCCGTTCCTCAGTCTATACTGAAAGCTCCCATGGCTATCAAAGGAGAGCACAGAGCTTGGCTGGCTTTTTTGCCCTTCTTTTAAAGGAAGGCTTTGCCACTTATGCTCTGCCTGCTGGCATGAGGAACCCATTGCCATGACTAGCCTGTGAAGAGCAGGGAAGCTTTCATCTGCTGCTGGCATTTATGTTACCCTCTCCACTGGCAGGGAATAAAAGCCAGGAGCATCAAAAGTACAGGCCAAAGCTGATTTTGAAAGGGACGCAGCTCAGCAGTGTTTCACTGATGGTATAGAGCACCCCTTTGTATCGTCCTGCATGTTTTGGTTGGAAATGTTTTTATCTGATCAAATGCTGCTTTGTAGCTCTGTAGTTCAGCTGCCCTATGAACTATTAAGTATGGAATAAAGAACATCCCTAAAAACGCAGGTCATGGAGCAGGTGCGGGGGCCATGTCTCAGCGTAATGCTGCAGGCAATCGGTGTGCTTAACAATGATACCCTGTAGCAACCAATAACTGTAAACTAAGAGATGATAAACCAGTGTCCAGCCAGCTAGTGTCCAGAGCATTGCCCCTGCCAGAGGAGGGAAATCTAACCCATTAAATACTGCATGCCTCCATCTTCCAGAGGCAGGACTGGGGCATGAGCAGCTGCTCCAGCATTCTCTAGCCAGAGCATACCTTCTTCTAAGGGGCTCTGGAACAGCTGGGTGGGCCCCTGAGGACAGCACCTCCCCTACCACTGGTCTCAAAGAGCTGCCCCTTCCCGCTTGCTTTAACAGTGGTGGAGCCCTGCTGATATTCTATAATTAAACACTGGGTGGAAGTATTTAACTTGTAATTCTGACTATTAACCCAGTCAGCTGCGACCTGGTTTAGAGTCTTTGGCCTCCCGTGCTGCCTTCACCAATGCCAAGGCCTCGTAGCGGTATGTGACTGCCTTCAACTGTGATCAGTGCTTGAAAGAGCCAGCTGATGGGGGCACTCAGCTAGGGGGGCATTAGATGAGTGTGAGCTATAGGAAACTTCGCCACGTGGGCATGGGACTCCAGTGCATCCAAGGCAGCAGTGAAGCGTTCCTTTCCGGTGGGGAGGGCAAGAGGAACAGGCTGCCCTGAGGAGAGGCAATTCATCACCCCTGTGGGAAATGGTGGCATTCAGGCTGGTGCTGGTAACAGACCAGGGAGGGAGGGATGAGGTGGGCCAGGCTGCACAGGAAGCTGGAAATTAACACTCTTGTAGCGCTTAAGGCTATTCAGTGCTTGAAATCTCAGCAAATATAATGCCTTGTACACGTGAAATGCGAGTACAGGCTGTCACCATCTCATTGACTCCTTACTGCCCTGGGCCACACTGCAGCTCCAGTTCTGAAACCTGCAGCACCGGAAGGATTAAATCAGTCAACCTCCTCCACAGAGGGAATCAGTTTAAAACACTGAAGTGCAGCTGGTGCCAGCCAAAGTGCATCTCTTATCCATCACCAGCAGTGCCCTGGCTCTGCCCCCTTGAGCCTGGGTCTGCCCTGCCCGGCCCCTCATCCAGTCTCTTCCACCCGGGGATCCTAACGCTGGCATAGCAGGATAGCAGCATCTGGCACTGTCTGCAGATGGGCCAGTGACTACATGAGGTGTAAAGCAGGGGAGAATCAGACCCTCTGAGCCTGCAGGGCCATGCTTACGTGTTAATGCCTCTGGGCAGTGGAGGAGCTGGTACTGGCACAGCAATAAACTCCAGACGGGTTGGGGGAGCCCAAGGGCACCTTCAGGAGCAATAAACTAACTCAGGTGAACTGGAAAGCCAGTTGATTGTTTTGGTCAGGCCTGTATTTTATACGCCTGGGAGCTACCTCTTCCCCCTCCCCCTATCCTCTCCTAGTCACTACGTTCCCATCAGTGCATTCCCCGAAGTTGTGGGGAGAGGGGAAGAAGGGAGGTTTCTTGCCTCTCAAGCATAATGAGGCCCCTTTAATTGTCCACCTTTGATGCTCATAAACAGCACAGTCCCATGCAAAGCCAGGGTCTCCATGGCCAGCAGCATCGTGCAGCCTCCATCCAAAGCCACTGGGACATGAAGAAGGAGCTTGCACAGGAGTGCAATGAGCAAGGGGGTTGTGGTATAACAGCTGATGCTACTCGGAGTTCTGGGAGGGAAACAGAACCTCCTGCTCTACTGTGTAAATCAATCCCTAGCTACCAGGGATTAGGACAAAACCTTGGGAGGTAGATTACCCTACATCCGCCTGTTGTGGAGTCCTTTACCCTTCTCTGGAGCATCTGGCAATTGCCAGAGGCAGGATGCTGGACTCCGGTCTGATTCAGCCTGGCAGTTTCTATAGCGAGTGGAGAATGAGCTTGAACTGTGCTGCTGTGCCCAGCAACGTGTGACTCTCTATCTCCTGTTTCAGTCCAGTGGAGGCCAGCACCGTATTCAGATCTTTGAGAAGGGGGACTTTGGTGGCCAGATGTATGAATCCACAGAGGACTGCTCTTCGGTCTTGGACGAGTTCCGCATCCGGGAAATCAACGCCTGCAAAGTGCTGGAGGGGGCCTGGGTATTCTATGAGCATCCCAACTTCCGGGGCAGGCAGTACCTCTTGGAGAAGGGGGAGTACCGCAAGCCCGTTGATTGGGGGGCTGTGTCCCCCACTGTCCAGTCCTTCCGCTGCATTGTAGAGTGAGGGGTGGGGCAGCTCCCCGGCGGGGGCTGACACCCCTGCTTTGCCAGGGAAACTGAGTGGAGTCTGTGAATAAAGCTAGTGGCTGATGCAATGCTCCCTGTCCTGCTTATTTCCAATCAGTGTGGCTCTGGTGGTCAGGCCCTGGTTGGGTGCATCCTGCAGCCACCCCTCACTCCTGCTAGGGGCTAGACCTTTGCTACCATTCTCCCCTCCCTGACCTGTGCCAGCCTCTTCCCTCCTGCACCCCAAATCCCTCATCCTTGGCCCCACCCCAGAGCCTACACCCCCAGACAGAGCCCACACCCCAACCCCCTGCCCCAGCCCAGTGAAAGTGATTGAGGATGGGGGAGAGCAAGCGATGGAGGGAGGGGGGCTGAAGGGTGGGGCCTCAGAGAAGGGGCAGGGCAGGGGCTTTGGGGCAGCGCAAGGGTGTTTGGTTTTGTGCAGTTAGAAAGTTGGCAACCCTACACCCTGTGCCAGCCTCTCCCCTCCCCATGGCACCAGTGCTCCCCTCCCTGCCCTGTGCCAGCCCCTGCCTGGCTAGTCCTGCTGGGAGCCTTGGCTCCCAGTGCCCCAGGCCTGATTCTCCATGGCCATGCAACTTGGGGTGGCCTTTGGGGGCCTGTGTATTCAGTTCCTGGCCTCAGTCACCTGCCCTGCTTCCAAAGAGGGCCCCTGTCACTCGCTCCAATGGCTGCAGCTACAGTTGGTCCCTCACCTGGAGGCAGGCACATGCAGCCCAAGGATTGGGCTGTGAGTGGCAGGAGCAGCTGGCCACAGGGATATGGAACTGGGGGACTGGCACTAGCTGTGTGAATGAATGGTGACTGGCCACCTACCAAAGGTGATAGCATGTGGGGCTTTGTGCCTGTCGTGCCAGCCTCCTCCAGCGCTGTGCACCCGTCCCACCAGCAGGATTGAGCCCTCATCACAACACCAGCCATGCTAAAGCAGAGAGCTGCCCACAGGGGACAGATTTGTGGAGGAACTAGGAGGGGGAAGTCGAGACGAACCCGAGAAAGCGAGAGCAAGAGGGGAAGGATCCCAATAAGGGATAGAGAGCTGCCGCCCCATTTTCTGCGGGGGCAGCCAGGGAGTTTTGGTAGCTCAGCCTCTTTGTGACCAAGACACCTTGTGCCTGCGTGGCGGGAGGAAGGGAGACTCAGCTGAGAGACAGGATCCAGGGAGAGCCAGACAGAGGTGGGGTTGGGGAAAGAGGAAGAAAAGGGAGATGAAGGTGAGAGAGCAAACAGGTGAGAGAAATGAATGACGTGGGAAGAGGAAGGAAGGAAGAAATGGGGGGACAGCAGAAAAGGATATAGCTCAGGTGGAAGCAGGGCCCTGCCCATGCAGAGCCTGTGGTGGGAAATTATTCGTATGGCTCATGGTTAACTATTCGTGTTCCAACGGTGTAGAGAGGCCCTAAAGGAAATCAGGGCCCCATCCTGCTGGGAGCTGCACGTATGCACACTGAGAGAGTCTCACCCCCCAGTAAGCGTACAGCGAAGGCCCTGCCTCTGCCGATTGCCGGAGCGCCTACCTCTGATCTCCAGGGGTGCCCCGGACCAAATGGGCCTGCTCGTGTCATTAAAGCTGACCGCATGCTGTCCATCTCTGGAAGCCTGGGGCCATGTACTTACATTGCAGCCTGTGCGGCTGGAGCCACTCGCATTCGCTTATCAGCATTTTGTCTTTCTACCCTTTGGGTGGCACAGAAATATTCTTGGCCTAGAGCAGGCATGCAGGTAAGGCCGACCCCGGTGAATACCTCCACGAGGGAAAGAGTGAACTGTTCCTTGGAAGGTAGATAAACCCCCTAACCCACAAGGGACCATTCTCAGATGCAGCAGGTTTTCCCCGCCAGAGGGTCCAGCTGCCCTGGTTCCTGGTCTGGGCCTTTCTCCTGAAGAGGTGTGTTTCCTCACTGTACCACGAGGTGTCAGGCTGGCTCTGCTGGGCCCACCGCCACTGATATAATCATTCACATTTCCTGGGCGATGCATCGGCATGCAGAACATGACAAATGTCCATTTTGCGGGGCATTTTCTCCGCACGGGACTCTGGGGAGCCAGCGAGTTTTTTGCATATCAAGCAAGGGGATCGGGGACTTTGGATAATGACATTTGCTGCTTAAAGAGAGCCCCTCCCAGCAATGGCCCTGCAGTCTCGTCCAGGTTGATAGATGAGGTTATTACGTGGCAGTGAGGCAGGTTAAGTGATGCTTGTCAGGCGCTGCAAGGATACGGCCCCCTGTGAGTACATTAGTAATTGGGGGTGGGGCACGTGGGGAAGAGTCCTGCTCCAGAGGAGAGGGGGTCTGCTACAGCACAGAGAGGGAGGCAGGGGGTGGGCCTGCATGCCCTGGTTATTGGCAGGCAGTAGCATCTGATTGCTTTCCGGGCTGCTGTAAGGGAAGGGCCTGGTGGGCAAGTTCAACTGGGGAAGGGGGCCTGTGGCACAGCACCGGTCATGGGCACAATGTGTTTAGAGAGGTGGCTGTGGGGAGAAGCTTCTGCAGCTGGAAAAGCAATCAGCTGCCCAAAGCAGTAACAGCCTCTTCCCCCACCTGGACAGCAAGGGAGTGGAAAAAAACCCTCCTCCCCGTCCTGGAGCAGGAGTGCACAGGGCTTCCTCCGGCTCACATGTCCCGCCCAGCTAGGCCCAAGCCGCGCAATCACTGCCCTTAGTCTTAACCCAGAGTGCTGGACGCAGAGAGGGCCCAGTGGCTGCTGAGCTCTGTGGGCTGATCCTTGCCAGCTGTCTGGACAATTCCTGCTGGTCGCTCCCAGGGAAGCGTGGCACATTGCCCGTCCCTCTGGCACGGTCCTTTGCTGCTTTCCTCCTTTGCACTCAGCTTTTCCAGTGTGTTCCTATTCACTCTCAATTCTCCTCCTCTCTCCATTTCTCTGTCCCCTTCTCCCTGTGTTGTCTCTCCTTCCACGCCATCAGCCCTTCAGTCTACTCTTCCCCATCAACCCTCCCTCTTCTCTCCCCTTTCATTCTCTCCCCTGTCCAGTACTCTGCTTTCACCCTCCTCCATCGCTACTGCCTGCCCTCAGGCCTCCATGGGTCACTGCCATGGCATAGGCAGTGCGCATTCTTCCCTTGGGGCCAGCAATCTCTCTCACAGGGCAAGAAACACAGCTAGAGCAGCCCCGGACCCTTGGCTTCTCTGCCCAGCCACTCTCATGGCTCTTTGCAGGTGGTGATGGAGCACTGTCTTGTGCAGAGAGGGGGAGCATTGTGTGGGGCACACCTTCCTCTTCACTAACACCCCAGGACAAGCGGGGCTTGCAGGTCCAGACAGGCAGCGTGGCCCTGCAGTGGAGCACTGTGCTGCCCCCTGTATGCACGCTCACCCTCTAGGTACAGGATGCCCTGCCATGCACACAGTGCGATCCCCTTGCCATGCATTCAGCAGGGTCCGGCCTGTACACACGCTGTCTCCTCAACACACACATTACAGTGCAGCTCGCTTCCTGTGCACACAGATGGCACCTTTCAATACCTTTATTGGGGCTCCCCCTCCCAGGGTGTTCCCACAACCTGATGTCCCTCACCCTTGCACAACAGTGACCACTGAGGCAGATTTGAGGATATTTTAGGGATGATTAGATCATCTAGTCTGACCTCCTGCACATCAGAGGCCATTGCATTCCACCCCAAACAACTCTGGGTTGAGCCCAATGATTGAGTTTGACTGTAGCAAGGAGTGTGGCCTTCCTTGGAGATTGACAGGTGGGAACAGCCGGACGCCCCCTGGTGGGTGGAACCTGGAAGGCCTTGTCCACCCTGCTGAAAGCAGAAGGGCAGGACAGGAACCGGAAATACAAAAGGTGGGCCCTGCAGCTCAGTTGAGGTAGAGCTGCTGAGGGAGACAGATGCTTCCAACCTGCTGCTAGAGCAGGAGCCTGCAGAAGACCTCTGCTGTTCTGAGGACTCACCAGAGCTGCCAAACATGCCTGATGCTGAGGAGCTGCTGGGATTGCCACTGGCAGTGTACCCCAGGGAGATGGAGAATGACCCTGGGACTCAGGTACACCCCCAGGGGAGGGGAGGAAGTAGGTCAGGGATGGCTGACTCTAGTCTGGCTGTATTGCTACCTGAATGCAGGTCAGCATGTTGTGGCTGGATTCCCTGCTGACCCAGTGGTGGAATTCTCTGCCCTGAGCTAGGACCTGGTGGAGTCGGGTGGGCCTGGGTCCCCCTAACCTCTGCCACCCCACCCCTGAGGTGGCAGCTTCCTCACCATAGGCCAGGAGGCATGTGTTAGTCTACCGTCTACCAGAGCTAGGATGCTAGACCATTTACGGCTCTGCCCTTCCTAAGGGCCTGGGCCCTGATGGCAGATTAATGCTTGGCCCTGCCAAGAGAGCCTGAGTTCTAGAGACAGCTACTTTCCCCCTTTTACAGATTACTGTTCTGAGTGTATGACCGTGAGGAGGCGTGGCCTCCCTTGGAGATTGACAGGGAGGGATGGTCACACACACCTACTTTGACTAAAGCATTTCAGTCCTCAGGAGGCTAAAGTGTGCACCGCAGGCAAATAGCTTTTGAGTTTGCAAATCAACAGAAATATATATTTTTAAAAGTGGTGTGTCCTCTCTTTTTCCCCCTTTGTCTTAATGAGAGTGTGAGATTACTGAGGGAAAGACCTATCTTTTTAGATTTGTCAATCACCTACCATGCTTGGGGGGCACAATTCGAATAGAGCTGGGCAAAAGATTATAGAATCAGAAATCTGTACTGAAATTTTGAAATTGGAAAAAAAAGAAAATACTTGGCAAAGTTTGCACAGATTTTCCCCTCTCCTTTCATATTTCCACCAGTTGTTGAGCTGGTCAAAATTTTGATTTCCCATTTCAAAATTGAAAAGGGGAAAAAAAATGGCAATCCTCCTCCCTGTTTCAAACAGCAGGCCTAATCCAATGACCATAATCAATAACAGAGCATTATTAGACACATTTTTCATATGAAGCAACTAAAGAAAAGTTCAATGAACTGGCTGAGAGGTAGTGTTGTCTAGTAGGTTAAGCACTGGCTGTCTGACCCACAGACCTGCAGTCAGCTCTCAGATCTGGCTCTTATTTG